ATTACTTCAAGGTGAGCCACAATCCCACCTACTTCTCGAAGAAAACGATTCTCAGCTGTAAACCATGTCTGCCTTCTTTGAAGCAATGGCCCAGTTATATGATGGCCCACAGCAGACTGCCACAGCAGACACTACCCTTCATATGCTCCAGAAAGGCCGCAGAGCAGCTGAGGACTATGTTACGAACTTCAGACGAGTAGAATGACGCAGCCCTGTGACACCAGTTCCGCTTTGGGCTAGCTGAAGGGTTAAAAGTTGAACTAGCCGGGGTTGGTGTACCAAATACATTGGAGGCTCTTAGTACTTTGACCATCCAGATAGACTGGCAGTTGCATGAACACAGGCTGGAAAGAACTACTCAGCAGTCACGTCCTGTATGGATGATGTCCAGGGTGCCTTCTTCTACTCATTCCATGGCTGCTCACGCCATTCCTGCCAATCCTGTGCCTCCAGCATCTGACACTCCAGAACCCATGCAGCTTGGATTGATGCGTCCGTCCTCGTCAACTGAGGAACGTCAACGTCGTCGGCAGAACAACCTTTGCCTATACTGCGGAGAAGCCGGTCATTATGTGCGCACATGCCCCGTAAAGATGCGTATGTCTATCTATTTCTCCTGCTAACCTGTCATCACTATCTGCCAGTACCACTCACTTAGCCCTTCCACTCTCATTCCAGCTGCCGGAAGGAGCAATCTCAGTCAACGCCATTATTGACTCTGGGGCATGCAACTGCTTTTATTGACTTGCCTTTTGCAGCCCAGCAGCATATACCCTTATGACAAATGACCCAAGGACTTTCAGTTTACCTGCCAGATGGCTCACATATCAAATTGGGATTCGTAACCCAGGAAACACCACCATTGCCTGTTGTTACCTCTTCCAAACATTAAGAACTTTTGAGTCTTGACACTATTATATCTTCACTGTTTTTAGTCATTTTGGGCCTACCTTGGCTTCAGGCCCACAACCCTCGAATTGATTGGATTACTGGAGAAGTCAATTTCCAATCCACCTATTGTCGAGAACATTGCTTGCCAGAATCACCCAATTCTGCTGTGACCCTACTCTGTATGGATTCTGATCTTGAAATCTGTCAAAAAGTACCTAAATCTTATCACAAATATTTTGATGCCTTAAGCAGATGGGGGGCTGATACCCTACCCCCTCATCGGTCATATGATTGCCCGATTGAAGTGCTTCTGGGAGCCGACATTCCGTTCAGGCAAACATTCCCACTTTCAGAACGGGAACAGGAAGCTCTAAAAGTGTAATGTTGATGAAGACTTAAAAGGGTTTCATCTGTCCTTCCACCTCTCCAGCAGGGGAAGGAATATTCTTTGTTGAGAAAAAGGACCACTCTTTACGGCCCTGTGTGGATTATCGGGAACTCAATAAAATTAAGTGAAGAACCGTTATCCCCTTCCACTTGTACCGAACTGTTCCAAAGGTTGCAGTCTGCAACTATCTTTACCAGGTGGATTTACAAGGGGCCTATAACCTGGTCTGCATACATGAAGGAAATGAGTGGAAGGCGGCGGCTTTTCGTACCAGATTCGGCCACTTCGAATATCTGGTTATGCCCTTCGGTCTCTGCAATGCTCCTGCCACCTTCCAGCATTTTATATTTTTTTGTAATTGTATATTTAGACATATAATTGTATATATTTTCCCTATGTCCCTTGACTTACACCGAAGGCACGTGAAGAGTATTCTATGCCGTCTCCGCCAACATGGACTTTACGCCAAAATTGAGAAGTGCGAGTTCGAACGGCTGTGCATCCAATTCTTGGGCCTGGTGATCTCTACAGCAGGAATTAAGATGGATCCTCAAAAAGTGTCCGCTATCTTAGACTGGCCGGCACCCACAGACCAAAAGGGGGTGCAACGATTTGTGGGATTCGCAAACTTCTACCAGAGATTTATTAAAAGAGTCTCTGCCATCATTGCCCCAATCACGCAGCTGACTAAACGGAACCTTCGTTACCACTGGAGCCCTGAGGCACAAACTGCGTTTTAAAAACCCTAAAGAGATTCTTCACTTCCACCCCTATCCTCAGTCATCCTGATCCATCTTTACCATCTTTATAGACTCCAGAGAGAGAGAGATATCATATTACCCCTGTACAAATCATTCGTAAGACCTAAACTGGAATATGCAGTTCAGTTTTGGGCACCAATTCACAAAAATAATATTGGGGAACTTGAGAATGTACAGAGAAGGGCAACCAAACTGATACGGGGCATGAAGGAGATCAGCTATGAGGAAAGATTAGAGGAACTGAATTTATTCTCTCTTGAGAAGAGGAGATATGATCAACATTTATAAATACATCAGTGGTTCATATAGTGAACTCGGTGTAGAGCTATTCACCCTGAGGTCAACACAGAGGACAAGGGGGCACTCTTTACGTCTGAAAAGAAATTTAATCTCCAATTACGGAAAGGTTTCTTCACAGTGAGAGCTGTGAAAATGTGGAATAGACTCCCTTAAGAGTTGGTTTTGTCCAGCTCAGCGGATTGCTTCAAAAAAGGCTGGATTCTTTCTTAGATACACAGAATATAACTCGATACTAATATTTATAGGTAAAGTTGATCCATGGAATATCCGATTATCTCTCGGGGGATCCTCTGGATCAACTGCGGGTATAGGATTATAACTTTTTTTCCTATGGTTGAACTGGATGGACTTTTACTACTAGCCGGACTATAACTATGTAACATATTGGAAGTGGATGCATCAGAAATTGCAGTGGGGGCAGTGGTTTCACAACGTGAAGGTCTGAAGGACTTAATACATCCTGTGGCCTTCTTTTCATGCAAACTTTCTCTAGCAGAAAGAAACTGTGCCATGGGAGATAGTGAATTGCTTGCCATCAAAGCCGCCTTGGAAGAATGGAGGTACCTGTTGGAAGGAGTGGCACACCCTATTTTGATCTATACCGATCATAAGACCTCGAGTATTTAAGATCTGCTAAGAGTCTGAAGCCACGACAAGCTCGATGGGCACTGTTCTTTTCAATGTTCGCTTTCCATATCACTTACCGACCTGGATCAAAGAATACTAAACCGGATGCTCTGTCTCGTATGTATGATGACCAAAGAGAACCTCCTTTGCCAGATACCATCCTGCCTGCAGGTAACTTTTTGTTATTACAAACTGACCTTCTGTCACAAATTAAACAAGCCTCTGTGGGGGTCCCCCCTACCCTTCTGCAATTACACTAGTTCCTAAAGAAGGTTTGCTGTGGTTGAAGGACAAAATCTTTGTGCCAGAAAGTAACTGAGTGTCTGTTCTGAGGAATTTTCATGATCACCCCGACAGGCCACTTTTGTGTCCACAAGACTCTCGATTTGGTACAACGTATATTCTGGTGGCCAGATCTGGAGGAATTCTGTAAAAAATACGTAAGCTCATTTACTTTCTATACCCGGAGTAAGACTGCAAGAAGCAGAGCTTGGGGTCTACTCAAACCCCTGAGGCCATGGAAAATGATATCTATGGCTTTCATAGTAGAACTTCCACCTTCTGAAGGATGTACGGGAATTTTTGTGGTGGTAAACCGATTGTCTAAAATAGTAAATTTTTTGCTTCTAAGCAATACACCTTCTGCCATGGAAACGGTCCGGGTGTTTGGTAAGGAAATTGTGACGCTGCACGGGGTACCTGCAAACATTATCTCTGATTGAGGAGTCCAATTCACTTCTCGCTTTTGGAGGGCATTATGTGAAGTGTTGGATATTGAATGGTCCTTGTCTTGAGCTTACCACCCCCAAACTAATGGGCAAACAGAAAGGACTAATCATACACATGAACAATACCTTCGATGTTTTACATCCTTTGTCCAGGACGACTGGGTATCATTATTGCCCTTGGCAGAATTTGCTTATAATAATGCTTATAATCATGCCAGCCATTCAGCCACAAGATAATTCCTCATTCTTTGCTAACTTCGGCTTTCATCCTTCCTTTCTGCCTGACTTTATTCCAGAACCAGCAGTTCCTGCCATTCAGAGTAGAGATGAGCGAATTATTCAAAAATTCGATTCGACTGATTCGGCGAATTCGTGAAAAAATTTCGATTCGAGTCGAATATATTCGCTGCAAATTTAACTTATAAAAGGGTGTTTCTAGGCTTCAGAGAGCCTTTATATTAGTGCAGAACACTGTACCTTTAATTTAAATGCCCTTGGAGTCTGCTGGGGAAGAGAAATAATACTATCAGTCAGTATGACATGCAGATGAGTGCCGTCGATCTTAGAATCACCGCACACTTCACTCATTTGGGCAGTCACGGGGCCAAAACCAGAGTATGGAGCCACAGTGTGGCGGTGGAGGCAGCAGCAATGGGAGGCCATACAGCACCCTATGACAAAATGGAACCCACCAGCAGTGTGAGGAGACCTGAAAGTGGCACATGGCAGAGTGTGGCGATGGAGACAGCAGCAATGGGAGGCCGTACAGGGACCCATGAGACACTCTGGACCTGGCAGCAGCATGAGGAGGTGGTACGGGGGCCCATGGCAGATTACGGGCCTGGCAGCAACAATGGGAGGCCGTACAGGGACCCATGACACACTCTGGACCTGGCAGCAGCATGAGGAGGCGGTACAGGGGCCCATGACAGATTACGGGCCTGGCAGCAGCATGAGGAGTCGGTACGGGGGCCCATGACACACTCTGGACCTGGCAGCAGCATGAGGAGGCGGTACAGGGGCGCATGACAGATTAGGAGCCTGGCAGCAGCAACTTGGACAGGAGAACGTTCAGCTTCTGCACCGTCGGGTGCGTGCTCGCAAACTGTTGTCTCTTGGAAACGGATTCCAAGAAAGACTGCTGACGGAATCCGTGAAGAGGAGTAGTAGGAGAAGGAGCATCTGAACGAGCGGAATATGCCAACAAGCGACAACAGGGGCCCATGACAGATTACGGGCCTGGCAGCAGCATGAGGAGTCGGTACGGGGGCCCATGGCAGATTACGTTTCCATTTTGTCACCCTATGACAAAATGGAAACGCACCAGCAGTGTGAGGAGACCTGAAAGTGGCACATGGCAGAGTGTGGCGATGGAGACAGCAGCAATGGGAGGCGGTACAGGGACCCATGAGACACTGTGGACCTGGCAGCAGCATGAGGAGGCGGTACAGGGGCCCATGGCAGATTAAGGCCTGGCAGCAGCAATGGGAGGCCCGTAATCTGCCAGCACCCTATGACAAAATGGAACCCTGGGCTGGGGCAGGCAGAACCGCCGTATCTTTATCACGGTTTTCCCAGGCCACCGAATGGCGACGCTGCATATGCTGACGCAACGCTGTAGTCCCAACATGGGCCCCCTGGCCACGCTTGACTTTCTGGCCACATAGTCGACATACGGCTACGTTTACTTCCTCGGGTGGCTTGACGAAAAATTGCCACACCGCCGAGTAGGAAACTTTGCCCCCGCTACTCCTCACTGGCTGACTGCTACTTCCTCTGTGCACACCGGCACCACTACTGGCCGTGGTGGTAGGCTGCAGTGTAGCTGGTGCTCTACTCCGTGGCCATTTGCCTCCACTGACACTGCTGCAACCCTGCTGCCTCCTGGCAGCAGCAATGGGGAGGAGGAGGCGGTACAGGGGCCCATGGCAGATTAGGGGCCTGGCAGCAGCAATGGGAGGCCCGTAATCTGCCAGCACTCTATGACAAAATGGAACACACCAGCAGTGTGAGGAGACCTGAAAGTGGCACATGGCATGACACACTGTGGACCTGGCAGCAGTATGAGGAGGCGGTACAGGGGCCCATGGCAGATTAGGGGCCTGGCAGCAGCTATGGGAGGCCCGTAATCTGCCAGCACCCTATGACAAAAAATGGAACACACCAGCAGTGTGTGAGGAGACCTGAAAGTGGCACATGGCAGAGTGTGGCGATGGAGACAGCAGCAATGGGAGGCCGTACAGGGACCCATGAGAGACTCTGGACCTGGCAGCAGCATGAGGAGGCGGTACAGGGGCCCATGGCAGATTAGGGCCTGGCAGCAGCAATGGGAGGCCGTAATCTGCCAGCACTCTATGACAAAATGGAACACACCAGCAGTGTGAGGAGACCTGAAAGTGGCACATGGCATGACACACTGTGGACCTGGCAGCAGCATGAGGAGGCGGTACAGGGGCCCATGGCAGATTAGGGGCCTGGCAGCAGCTATGGGAGGCCCGTAATCTGCCAGCACCCTATGACAAAAAATGGAACACACCAGCAGTGTGTGAGGAGACCTGAAAGTGGCACATGGCAGAGTGTGGCGATGGAGGCAGCAGCAATGGGAGGCCGTACAGGGACCCATGAGACACTCTGGACCTGGCAGCAGCATGAAGAGGCGGTACAGGGGCCCACGGCAGATTACGGGCCTGGCAGCAGCAATGGGAGGCCCGTAATCTGCCAGCACCCTATGACAAAATGGAACACACCAGCAGTGTGAGGAGACCTGAAAGTGGCACATGGCATGACACACTGTGGACCTGGCAGCAGCATGAGGAGGCGGTACAGGGGCCCATGGCAGATTAGGGGCCTGGCAGCAGCTATGGGAGGTCCGTAATCTGCCAGCACCCCATGACAAAAAATGGAACACACCAGCAGTGTGTGAGGAGACCTGAAAGTGGCACATGGCAGAGTGTGGCGATGGAGACAGCAGCAATGGGAGGCCGTACAGGGACCCATGAGACACTCTGGACCTGGCAGCAGCATGAAGAGGCGGTACAGGGGCCCACGGCAGATTAGGGGCCTGGCAGCAGCAATGGGAGGCCTGTAATCTGCCAGCACCCTATGACAAAAAAATGGAACACACCAACAGTGTGAGGAGACCTGAAAGTGGCACATGGCAGAGTGTGGCGATGGAGACAGCAGCAATGGGAGGCCGTACAGGGACCCATGAGACACTCTGGACCTGGCAGCAGCATGAAGAGGTGGTACAGGGGCCCACGGCAGATTAGGGGCCTGGCAGCAGCAATGGGAGGCCCGTAATCTGCCAGCACCCTATGACAAAAAATGGAACACACCAGCAGTGTGAGGAGACCTGAAAGTGGCACATGTTTGGGGCATGATTCATGGCGGATTTAGTCAGTTGTGTCAGGAACTGGTGGTTTGAAATCCAGACTAATCCACGCCTGATTCATTTTCACAAACGTGAGTCTCTCCACACTTTGGGTGGACAGTCGTGTCCTCCGCGGAGTTACAATACCTCCTGCCGCACTAAACACGCGCTCAGATGCCACGCTACTGGCCGGGCATGACAGCCTTTCAAGGGCAAATTCAGCTAGTTGGGGCCAAAGGTCAAGTTTCGTTGCCCAGTAGTCAAGGGGATTGTCTACCTCGGTTGGCAGGGTGCTGTCCAAGTAGGCCCAAGCCTGTTGTTTGAGGTCCTGCTCCAGGTCCACCTGATGCTGCTGCTGCTGCGGCTGGTTAGTAGTTTCCTCACTGCGCTGGTGAAGAAAGCTACTCATCATCGACTGCAGACTGAGGCAGCCGCTGCTGGTGGAGCTGCCACTGCTCCTACCACCCCACCCCTCCCCTGCTGCCATGGCAGCGGAATGCGAGCGCACAGGGCCCACAGTGTCGGAGGATGGACGTTGGCGCACAAAGGCAGAGAATAACTGACTACATAGGTGGTTTTTATAGTACGTTATTTTGGCCTCCCTCTCAGCAGGTGTGAAAAAGACCACCATTTTTGAACGGTAGCGAGGGTCCAACAAGGTGGACAGCCAAAAGTCATCCCTCTGTCTGATGGTTATTATTCGGCTGTCGCTACGCAAGCAACGAGCATGCTATGGGCCATTTGTGCAAAGGAATGCGAGGGACTCCCTGCCTCCATCTCCACAGCATACTGCCACGGTGCGTCTGGGTCCTCTGTCTCCTCCTCCTCCACTCCTGTCCGCTGAGTGGAAAAAACCACCCATTTCACTCAATAATTCCTGAGCACAAATGTCCTCCTCTACCTCCTCCTCTTCTTCCTGTCCTGCCCCCACAGGGGTCATGTGGCATTGAGATCTGTGCGCCACGTCTACCGCACCCTGACCAGCCATTGTTAACAGCATTTGTTCCAGGACGTGCAACAGAGGAATGACGTCGTTCATCCCATAGTCCTGCCGACTCATGAATAGCGTGGCCTCCTCAAAGGGCCTGAGCAAGCAGCAGGTGTCACGCATGAGTTGCCAATGGCTGACATCGAAGTTACACAGGGGAGTACCTTTATCCGCTTTGTAACATCAGGAAATCGGTGATGGCCTTTCGCTGTTCGTAAAGGCGGTCTAACATGTGTAGGGTTGAATTCCACCTTGTTGCAACGTCGCAGATCAGGCGATGCTGTGGAATTCCGTTCTGCCGCTGCAGCTCAAGGAGGGTGTGCTTTGCGGTGTAGGAATGGCTGAAATGCATGCAAAGTTTACGTGACATTTTAAGGATGTCTTGCAGTGGGATGGTGGATTTTAGGAACCGCTTGACAACCAGATTGAACACGTGAGCCATGCATGGCGCATGGCACAACCTTCCTTGACGCAGAGCAGACACCATGTTCTTTCCGTTGTCGGTCAACATGGTTCCGATTTTCAGTTTGCGCGGAGACAGCCATCTGTCGATTTCTCTGTTCATTACACTCAGAAGTTCCTCCCCTGTGTGACTACGTTCGCCAAGGCATACCAGGTGCAGCACAGCGTGACACCGTTGCGCCCTGCACATGTGATATGCCGGTCGGGTAATGGGACTTGGCACGGGGGTGGCGGCTGAGGACACAGCGGAAGAAGAGGTGGTAGAGGCGGACATCTTTTGTGGACCAAGGACGTGCAAACGTGGAGGCAAAAGCGGCGTGACCTGTCCAAGTTGCTGGTGCGGCTGTGCCGGCACCACGTTCACCCAGTGGGCCGTAAATGACATGTACTGTTCCTGACCGTAGTTACAGCTCCACACGTCGGCGCTGCCGTGCACTTTGGCAGAGACCGACATGCTCAAAGACTGGTCCACCATCTCTTCTACATGTGAATGCAGGGCTGGCACTGCCTTTTTGGCGAAGAAAAATGACGGCTTGGCACTCTCTCCACCGCAGCGCGGCACAAGCCATCATTTCTCGGAAAGGTGCTGAGTCCACCACTTGGAAAGGGAGGGACTGCAGCACCAGCAACTTGGACAGGAGGACGTTCAGCTTTTGCACCGTCGGTGCGTGCTCACAAACTGTTGTCTCTTGGAAACGGATTCCAAGAAAGACTGCTGACGGAATCCGTGAAGAGGAGTAGCAGGAGAAGGAGCATCTGAACGAGCGGAAGACGCCAACGAGCGACAACTCCCCTCAGCAGAGGTGTTGGAGCCTTGACTGGCTGATAGAGGGCGATTGACGTCGGGTGACGGAGCAAGTAACGGAGCGGGTGATGGAGCGGGGGCTGGGGCGGGCAGAACCGCCGTATCTTTATCACAGTTTTCCCAGGCCACCAAATGGCGACGCTGCATATGCTGCCGCAACGCTGTATAGTCCCAACATGGGCCCCCTGGCCACGCTTGACTTTCTGGCCACATAGTCGACATACGGCTACGTTTACTTCCTCGGGCGGCTTGACGAAAAATTGCCACACCGCCGAGTAGGAAACTTTGCCCCCGATACTCCTCACTGGCTGACTGCTACTTCCTCCGTGCACACCGGCACCACTACTGGCCGTGGTGGTAAGCTGCAGTGGAGCTGGTGCTCTACTCCGTGGCCGTTTGCCTCCACTGACACTGCTGCGACCCTGCTGCCTCCTGGGCAACCCACCGACTGTTTTGCTCGCTGCCAAGCTGCCACCCTCTTCTCCTGATGATGCGGAAGCAATAGCCTGATGACGAGGCTGCCAAGTGCGATCAGCCTCATCATCATCAATTATGGTCTCCGCCTCACTACTAGCCCCCTCGGCTGCGTGTGGGTCAGGAGACAGACCTGTCTCTAGACCGGCTACCGAGCCACTCTCCTCACCACTACTTCTTCGCCTGGCTGCTGAAGAGGCGGATGTCTCCCCCCGTTCCTGACCGCCCTCTGTTAGCTCTTCCTCACTGTACAGTGGGGCTGAGCCCACAGCATGCGATACTTCGCTTGGTGAGGGAACACCAAAGGACAGGGGCAGGTCGAGGACACGTGATTTCAGTGGGCTTGCTCCCGGGCCATGCCAACTAACGGTTGTGTCTGACGTACCCACCGACCGTTGGCTGTAGGTGTCAAAGGTGACCTGGGAAGAGGAAGACGACCGAGCCAACCAATCGATGACGGCATGGTTGTCAGTGGAGACACGACCGCTGGATGACACCGGGAGCAATGGCCTCTGGCTGCGACTAGTGCTGCCTCGACCCCTTCCTCTGCTGCCACGTCTGCTCGCTCCTAAAACATTGCCTCCTCTGCCACTCCTCTGCATGTTGTCTGACATACTCTTTAATTCAATGATTATGTGTCCCTGAGTAACAATTCTGTGTCCCTGAGTAACAAATTCTGTGTCTGTCCCTGAGTAACAATTCTGTGTCCCTGAGTAACAATTCTGTGTCTGTCCCTGAGTAACAATTCTGTGTCTGTCCCTGAGTAACAATTCTGTGTCTGTCCCTCAGTAACAATTCTGTGTCCCTCAGTAACAATTCTGTGTCCCTGAGTAACAATTCTGTGTCTGTCCCTGAGTAACAATTCTGTGTCTGTCCCTGAGTAACAATTCTGTGTCTGTCCCTGAGTAACAATTCTGTGTCCCTCAGTAACAATTGTGTCCCCTGAGTAACAATTCTGTGTCCCTGAGTAACAATTCTGTGTCCCTGAGTAACAATTCTGTGTCCCTGAGTAACAATTCTGTGTCTGTCCCTGAGTAACAATTCTGTGTCCCTCAGTAACAATTCTGTGTCCCTGAGTAACAATTCTGTGTCCCTCAGTAACAATTCTGTGTCTGTCCCTGAGTAACAATTCTGTGTCCCTCAGTAACAATTCTGTGTCTGTCCCTGAGTAACAATTCTGTGTCCCTCAGTAACAATTCTGTGTCCCTCAGTAACAATTCTGTGTCCCTCAGTAACAATTCTGTGTCTGTCCCTGAGTAACAATTCTGTGTCCCTCAGTAACAATTCTGTGTCCCTCAGTAACAATTCTGTGTCCCTCAGTAACAATTCTGTGTCCCTCACAATTCTGTCTGTCCCTGAGTAACAACAATTCTGTGTCTGTCCCTCAGTAACAATTCTGTGTCTGTCCCTCAGTAACAATTCTGTGTCCCTCAGTAACAATTCTTCAATTCTGTGTCCCTCAGTAACAATTCTGTGTCTGTCCCAGTCAGTGTCCCTCAGTAACAATTCTGTGTCTGTCCCTGAGTAACAATTCTGTGTCCCTGAGTAACAATTCTGTGTCCCTGAGTAACAATTCTGTGTCCCTCAGTAACAATTCTGTGTCCCTCAGTAACAATTCTGTGTCCCTGAGTAACAATTCTGTGTCTGTCCCTGAGTAACAATTCTGTGTCTGTCCCTGAGTAACAATTCTGTGTCCCTCAGTAACAATTCTGTGTCCCTCAGTAACAATTCTGTGTCCCTCAGTAACAATTCTGTGTCTCCCTCAGTAACAATTCTGTGTCCCCTCAGTAACAATTCTGTGTCCCTCAGTAACAATTCTGTGTCCCTCAGTAACAATTCTGTGTCCCCTCAGTAACAATTCTGTGTCTGTCCCTCAGTAACAATTCTGTGTCTGTCCCTCAGTAACAATTCTGTGTCCCTCAGTAACAATTCTGTGTCCCTCAGTAACAATTCTGTGTCCCCTCAGTAACAATTCTGTGTCTGTCCCTGAGTAACAATTCTGTGTCCCTCAGTAACAATTCTGTGTCCCTCAGTAACAATTCCTGTGTCCCTCAGTAACAATTCTGTGTCTGTCCCTGAGTAACAATTGTGTCCCTCAGTAACAATTCTGTGTCCCTCAGTAACAATTCTGTGTCCCTTAGTAACAATTCTGTGTCCCTCCCTCAGTAACAATCTGTCCTGTCCCTAACGTAGTTAACAATTCTGTGTGTCTGTGTCCTCATCAATTCTGTGTCTGTCCCTCAGTAACAATTCTGTGTCTGTCCCTGTGGCCCTAAACAATAACGTTTCTGTGGCCCTAAGTAACCTCAGTAACAATTCTGTGGCCCTAAGTAACGTTTCTTCTGTGGCCCTAAGTAACGTTTCTGTGGCCCTAAGTAACGATTCTGTGGCCCTAAGTAACGATTCTGTGGCCCTAAGTAAAGTTTCTGTGGCCCTAAGTAACGTTTCTGTGGCCCTAAGTAACGATTCTGTGGCCCTAAGTAACGTTTCTGTGGCCCTAAGTAACGTTTCTGTGTCCCTAAGTAACGTTTCTCTGGCCCTAAGTAACGTTTCTGTGTCCCTAACTCTCTCCCTCAATACAGACAGCTCTGCCTCTCTTGAATGACTGGAGGCAAATGGAGAATTCTAAAATGGCCGCCATTTATAGCTCGACCATTACACAGTGCTGGCTGGCTGGCTGCTGATTGGCTAATGCGATCACATGTCATGAATGAATGCATTATGGGTCAGCGCGCCCTTGTCTGCGCGCCTTCCCAGACATCCCCGCTCCGTCGCCGCACATGTCGCCGCCATTTTAGGAAAAATTTCGATTCGCGCATCCGAAGTATGCTAATTTTCGGATTCGTCGCGAATCGAAATTTTTCTAATATTCGAAACGAATTCCACTTCGCCTAGTTCGATTCGCTCATCTCTAATTCAGAGCATGGTGAACTTTCTCAACCATAACAATAAATTGTTACAAGAAGCGGTGGCTAAAGCACTGGCTGATAATAAGAAGGCATTTGACAGGAAGAGAAGGGGGGAATGGAGTCTTCAGGTGGGCGATCAAGTGTGGCTATCCACGTATTCCCAGTGAAGAGGCAACTTAACGAGAAATCATACAAACTATCTTTACCAGAATCATTTAAGATCCCTCCAGTATTTCATGTTTTGCTCCTAAAGCCTGTGGTGACGGATCCCTTTCCTGATAGGGGGCCTGGTCCTCCTGAACTGGTGCTTGTACATGGAGATGAAGAATATGAGGTGGAAGCTGTTGTGGATTGCAGGAGAAGGAGGAACCAGCTGCAGTACCTGATCAAGTAGAAAGGGGATGGTCCTGAAGAAAACTCCTGGGAGCCGGAACAATGTTCATGCTAAAGGACTTATTTGTGCTTTTGATCTGAGGTATTCTCGGACGGACTGGCGGCTTCTTCCCCGGTGCTCAGAAAATCTCCCTTTGTGTATCCAATCACTACTGATCTTCATGTACATCAGGTGCTGCTATTGAACAGAGTGCTATCATCGACTGGCATTGTTGCTCAGTTTTTCCATTTTCCTTGAAGAAGTGGATCACATCCCACGAAACGCGTAGGATCTTTTGATTGATTATCCAGTTTTGGATTCAATTTTATAGAAAAGCATTTTTGGTTTCTTCTATTTTTGTTGACTCATTATGTATGTGCCTACATTGGCGTTTGACTTTCTTACCAGTGTGTTTTTTTTATAATGTCATAATAAAATATGCTCTATTTTATCCAATATTGTTTATGATTATGTATCTTTATACCCATAATGGTATGGTACCTTAAAAGCTCCATTATTCTCTCCTACTAGGGTTTATTTTTTCACTGTTCAAATAGGGGTGTGGTACCTGTAAAACCTTCACACAAGGACAGGTGAGACCTAGCATCTCTCCAGCTCCCATCAATCTCCAATCTAATCTATACTAGCATGCTGTGCCTGTGGTTAGGGGGCATCATGCCTCTTGACGTAGCTGTTGGATACCTCTGACCACCTAGGACTTCTAAGCAACATCCAGTTATACACTTGTCAATCTTATATTGTTAGGTCTACAGATCATGGGACAAGCTACTGGCCTTATGATATGTGATGTTTCATATATTCTGCACTGTCTCATTTTGTATTATTTGTACCTCTCCCTGGTTGTGAAGGGGTTGGCCTCCCCGCCTCCATCAAGGCACTTTTCCCTTCCTTCCTTTCCTCCCCCCCCTTCATTTTCCCTCTCCCTTTCCTCTCTCACTTCCCCCTACTCCCCCCCTCCTGCTCTTTCTCCTCTTCCCTCCTAACCTTTCTTCTCCCCTTCCCTCTTGGCCCTTCCTCCTTTTAAATGTGGTGGTGGTGATGTTGTGGAGGCCTTCCCTCTTCTCAGCAGTGCACAACAGGATGCTTTTTAAGCTCTTTTGCAAACCTATTAGCTGTGGTATCCTTGGGCGAGTGTGGTCCTCGTGTCTGTTGTCCCACCTTCCCGACTCCCCCTTGTCTAAAAGGACATTTCCTCCTTGTCAGCAGTGTTTACGCCCATCCCTCCCCTCCCCCCCCCCTCGCCCTTCCCATCTCTACCCCCTCGGCCTTCCCACCCTCCCCCTTCACCTTACCGAGTTTACCACCCCTCTTACCCCTCCCCCCTTGCCCCCCATTTTTTTTTTCTTTCCTTAATTTAGACATTTGTTTTCTGAAGCTCCCCTGTGCTTCTCCATGGGAGCTACTGTTGTTGTTAAAGTGGCAGCCATGTGTACGGTGGTGGAGCCACCCCCCTAGACTTCCTCCCTTGTAGGGATGTTTTCTACCTTTCTGGTGGCTTGTGATTTTGGCTTCAATGTGCCTTCTTTTTTGTCTTCTTCCTTCTCCTTTTCTTTTGCCCCCCCCCCGTCCCCATCCTGGGATTCGTCTGAGCACTAGTCAACCACCTTTTAGGGCAACCACCATCCTTTTTGTTGATGAGCGCCTACTTTTCTCCCCACCATGGCCATCCCCCTGTTGAAAGTCTATTCGTAAAATAACCATGGCTTCAATTCTCCTCTTAAGCAGTCTAAAGTGTTCCACCACCTCAAATCCAAATAAGCAGATGTAGTCTGCCTACAGGAGGCCAGGTTGCTCAGTCCTCTGCTCCACGGTTTCTTTCCCCATATTACACAGCATTTTATACTGGTTCAACCACTGAGAAACACAGAGGTGTCCTGATCGCATTCAGACGCATGCTTCCATCGCTTGTACGCTGCAGATTGTAGACCCCACAGGCAGGTATTTGCTCTTACAGGGAACCCTCTATTATTACGGTTTCCTACTAAGCGCCTAACAGATTCCAACATAAAGTTTTTTCTCACCTCTGTAAGGTGGTCTCTCAGCACAAGAAGGGCCTTCTCCTTTTGATGGGAGACTCCAATATTGTCCTTAATTCCACTCTGGATAGACAATATGCACAGGGGGTCACCTCCTCTCACAACCCAGCACACAAGGCCCAATTACTTAAGGTCTTATTAACCTCTGGCCTGATAGATGTCTGGAGGGAGCTTCACCCCACTGCCCATGATTTTACTTACTACTCAAACCCACATGATAGCTTCTGCAGAATTGACCATGTCTTTACACACCATCATCTTCCTCTAGTTTGTAAGATCTCTATCCCTTATTGTTTTTTCTGGTGTCTCTCAAGCCTTATCAAAAGCCCTTTTCATTGGAGACTCAAGGAATCTCTCTTGACTACTCAAGCTACTTGTCAGCACATTCAATCTTATTTTGCTGACAATGTAGACTCCGTCACCTCAGCTGTGTCCCTACGGGAGGCTCAAAAGGCCACCATCCGTGGACACATTATGCAACTCACCTTCTACCGTAAACAGGGAAGGGAACGTCGAATCACCAAGCTGCATTCTCTCCTAGTGGCTGCAGACATTCTTTGGAAGACATAGCCTACCATAGCACATATGAAGGCTCGTGGCACCTTGGTGACAGAGCTGGATCTCCTTTGCACCTCCCCAGCTGAAAATGGTTTTGCGGTGGACCAAACGTAAGTATTACACATGTGTGGACAAACCTGGCCAAGAAACTGAATTCAGTGGAGAAACCGTGTAAGCCTATTTGGCTTCAGACCCGAACGGGAGCCCTCACGTCTAATCCTTTGAAATTCCTGAATTTCTATCCTTGTTTTATGCTAAACCAGTCTCCTCCCCTCTGAATCATGCTGAACAGTTCTTTCGAGAACTAAACCTTCCTAAGGATGCCCTTAATGCCAGTATCTCAAAAGCCGTAGTCCTCTGGGCTATCAAATCTTTGAAGCCCACCAAGGACCCAGGCCCTGATGGATTTTCAGGCTTATATTATAAGACATTCTCTACCCTTCGGGCACCTCACCTAGCTAATTATTGCAATGCTTTCAAAACTGGTTTGATGCCTTCTTCTAATGCTCTCCAAGTTGATATCTGATGATTCCCAAACGTCGGAGGATGCGAGTGAACCCCGAGCTTTCTGGATGATTTTTCCCTCCAGAACGATGACCAAAACATATTTACATAAAAGATCCCGAGCTTCCGCATTAACAAGTACATGTGCTACTACCAAGTAAGCTTTGTTCCAGGAAGGCAGGCAGGCAGGCGATAATGATTGCAAAGTTGTACATCTAATTAATCTCTTGCACCACCGGAGAATTCCTGTTTTTCTCCTCTCCTTGGATGTCTACAAGGCATTTGGTTCCTTATCCTGTGAATACTTACAATTTGTACTTTCCCACTGGGGTTTTGGAGAAGCCTTGCTAACCTGGATCAGAGTTTTATATTCTACACCTACAGCATTGGTTAAATATGCTGGGTATTTTCAGGCGCCTTTCCCCATCCATAGGGGCACCAGACAGGGTTACCCCCTGTCCCCAGCACTATTTCTTTTGCTGCTAAAACCTTTAGAACATTTAGCAATCGCAACCAAAATGTTGCTTATGCAGGCCATGACTTAAAAGACAATCACCGACCGGGTCCTCAAGGTTACCCTTTTCATTCATAGGCTACAAGAGGGATTGGAGATCCCTCATATCTCTAAATATCATTTGGCTACCCAAATCTCTCCACTGACCTGGCTTCATGCATTTTTCAATGTGCCTTTATGGGTGCTATTGGAGCTCCTCAAGTGCGCCCCTTTTTCTATACAGATGCTTTTATGGCTTCCACAGAAAATGCGACCTGTGGCTTTGCGCCCACTTATTCAGCATAGCTTGCGTCTTATGGGACTTGGTGCATTATTCGAGCTCCCTTATGTCTCCCTTCCTTCCTTTGCTACCTATTACTAACAATCCCGTTTCCCCCTGGGCTTGGCCAGCCTTGGGCTTTCACTTGGTGGACCTCTCATGGTCTCAAGTGTAACATTTTCTGACCACTCGGCACCCCCTGACATGGGCTGCCTTTCGTGATTCCCACGAAGCTCCCCAGTTGGAGTATTTCTGTTTCCCTCAGCTTCAACACTGGATATTTTCTCTTTGATGCACCTCACCTTATCCATTTTGGAAAACCACATTTGAACACACCTGGCAGCACTCCCCAGGCTCATTTTCTCTCCTATGCATCACT